TATATATATATATATATATATATATATATATATATATATATATATATATACACACGCACCATTCAGTTGCACGCTTTTGCGGAGTCCCCTTTGTTGTATGTCCATATTGTACTTGTTGTATATGATTCTGCGTGTCCAATTCCTTTGTTTGCAACATGAAGTTTCATAATAATTGTCCAGAAAAGGTCATTTTTGTTCTACACTGTTGAGATTAGCTTATTTATGTCTTTTCCTTTATCAGGTTCAAACCGCAAGCCATCATTGTGATTTTTAATTTTATAGTTAATGTTTGGTTTCTATGGTTACTTGATTAGTAAGTTATTCTGAGGTTTTCAAATGATAGACGTAGGGTTTGCGTAAATTATGTGATCCATTTAGCTACTGCTTAAAATGCTCTGTAGTAACCAGTGTTGTAAGGCTCTCTTTTTGTTTGTCTTCCTTATCGTAATATCGCGTAAGATTTTGGGTTCCACATAATTGATATTAAAAGAATCTTTGTAATCCAGTTATTTGTTAGATACCTCTAGAACTCCATACAAGTAGCTACAAACTAGCTTTGTGACAAAACTAGAGAATACCAAATTGTTCTTTCCTTCGTTGTATTTCAGGTGAAAATCCTATCAAGAAATGTTCTAATAGATATAAATTTGATTTACCTTTGGTAGTTAATTTGCTAAGTCATGAATATTTTGAAAGTTTCTTTGAGTTAAGATCTTAGCAAATGCAAGATATGCTCTTCGTTGCCTCAAATGCATGTGTGTTTGACAATTGATTTATCTTACTAGGCTACTAGCTGAGGAATCTCACTACAATATCGCGAATGTATGTCAAATGACAATCAACTTCAAATTATTGCAACAATGCCATGAACTTCTATGCTCTATGTGTATTAGGCTCTAACTTTTGTCCCCGTGCTTTTGGATTTCCTCAGGTATATCTAGTACTCTTATTTCTTTTGTCATGCATGGATAGTAGAGTGTGTTTCTTTGATCTATGTTACTCTTAACCTAGAGCAAGCGTTGTTGCTTTCTTTGCAACTTTGCTCATTGGTTTGATGGAGAGATAAAGACTAATATGTGGGATTGTGGGTCATTTAGCTTTTAAGTAAATTAAATGATATGCAGTACCTATTTTAGTAGGAAATTTCCTGTGATGATGGAGATTGGATTGTTATCCTAAATATCTTATTGACTTTTCAAGTGCTGGAAATTCTATCGGTCATTGGAAGTATGATGTTAGTTGTCTCCTGCTTTTGAAGATTTTCCCTTGCTCACCTTCCAAGATAGTACCTCTTACGTTCTTATTCAGGACGTTGTTCTGTTGCTAATTTAATTGCATTTTCTAAGCTTATTAATTTTTCTGTTTATGACAACTATTTTTTCCTTTTGCAGTTAGCATAACTTTTTGCTCTATGAATTCTCCTTACAGCTTGAACATTTTTCGTGTTCTATACAAATAATTATGCAATTTCCTTTTATTTTTCTCATCATGTAGCAGCAACAGCTAGTCAAAATCTAGATGATAGTCCATGAAAAAATTATTTCTTCAGAAACTACAAGTCTATTTATTCCAAAACTCATATGAGGTGGGCACTTTCTATTTGCATTGTATATTCTTTCAAAAAACAGTAACTTGATCCTTATATTACTAGTATCAGGTAATGAAAATAACATAATTTTACCATGTTCTCATCATCGTGGACATCAAAGACTCGCACTTAACTTTCTCCATTCAAAAGTCTCCTGGTTTATTATTCCCAATACAATGCTGCCCTTTCATATTCTTTATATTGTGATTTAAGTGAAGTTTCTATGCTCTTTGAAAGGATAGAAACTTACATGTTTTGTTCAGAAGACATGCATTTGTTTGGCAGAAATATTAGTAGTAGTCTGATAGAAACGGTGTAGTAGATATAGTAGCTCTCTAATAACAACTTGAATGTGGTTGAAGCGTTTGGGCCTATTTAGTTTTTCAATGCACTTATATGGTACTAGCATATTTTGGACCAAGCAGATGGCAGTGTAACTAGGAACTAAAATTTGGAATGCAACCCCTGATTTCTTATGAACTGGAATATATTTTGTGCGATTTGGTTTGTGAACATTTTTCTTTTCTCTAAACAACTATTTTATACATTTTACAGGATGTGGAGACTCTAGTTTACAAGTCAAGATGCAAGTTTGAAGACTTCGAACAAGTTGACAAATTGGTTATTGTTTTGCTAGAACTGTTAGACAAAATATTATATTATTTTCTAGGGCTATTAGCTTTTTCTGGGCAGATGAGTTGTGTAACTAGTATTGTGACATATAATTGTTGTAAATATTGATACTATTGAGATGTTAATCCATATTTTTAATTAATACTATTGATAATTTTATTTTTAATTGTATAATATCTTTGGAAAATATGACATGGAAAGGGCATGTATTATTTAGGTGCCACAATTTCTGGTAATAAATTTTTATACCAGCTTTTAGGTCGAAATTATAAATAGACTTGGAGGACCAGAATTTTGGTCACAAAGCCTTTTAAGGACCAGTTAAACTTGTCGCTGAAACTTTCAGGAACCAATTGATCATATGCGCTTAGGGACTAGAATGTGCTCCATAAAAGTATATTAGGGGCTAGAAATTTACTTGTCGCGAAAAACTCATTAAGGACCGATGCTTAAATCTCGTCCCTGTTGACCTTTAGCGGCGAAGCCTATAGCGACCGGTGGCCACCGGCTTTGTCCCATCGCAATTTTCTTTTGGGGACCAGAATTAGACTATTATGAACCAGTTTTATCATCCCTAATAACCATTTTTCTTGTAGTGGATGGAAGGTTGCTTTCTGGACTCCCACGGAATAGGATAGCCACCAAGACTGATAAAAGAACCTCTAACAGAACGACGGGAATTAGGGCAAGAAGCCCAATCAGAGTCGTAGAAGGCAAGCAAATAAAAAGAAGAGGAGAACATGAAAAACCCCAAATTAGGGTCTTAAAGGAGATAACTAAGGCAGTGTTTGGCTGCATCCATGTGAGGAAAACGAGGATGTTACATAAATTGTGAGAGGTGCTGAACAGCAAACAAAAAGTTTGGGCGAGTATGAGTAAGGAAGTTGAGCTTCTTTAACATATATCGATAAAGAGAGGGGTCAGAAATAGGAGAACCAACACCAGCAAACAATTTGCAAGAATGATCCAAAGGGGAAGAAACATAGGACATTCTGTCACAACCAAATTCAGACAAGAACTCTAGAGTGAATTTCCTCTAGATAAGGATCAAACCTGCAGGCTCACGCACCACCTCCATGCCCACGAAGAAAGATAAGTCCCCCAAATCTTTAATCTAAAATTTAGCATGTGGAAAGTCCTTCAACTCACTTAATTTCTGAGGATTATTCCCTATTCATATATCAACATAAACCGCAACCAAAGTAGTAGACTCCCCAGTCCTTTTATAGAAAAGAGAGTAATCATTGAGTGAGTGTGTGAACCCCTTAAAATTCAAAGCTGCAGTTAATCTGGTGTACCCACTATCTCGATGCTTGTCTAAGACCATAGAGTGATTTTTTAAGTCGACACACAAGATTGGGGGAAGGGAAAGGTAAACCAGCTGGAAACTTCATGTAAACCTCCTAATTAAGGTCACCAGTAGAAACGCATTATTAACATACAACTTATAGAGTCCCCAATTCTTCTTGACTGCAATAGCTAAATTACACCGTATAGTAGTCATTTTAACAACAAGAGAGAAGGTTTCTGTGAAATCAATCCCTTCTCTCTATGTGTCTCCACTAATCACCAAACGAGCCTTTAGTCTTTCAACACTACCATCAGACTTTAGTTAACCTTGTAAACCCAATTGCAAGGGAGAGCTTTCTTCCCAACTGGTAAAGGCACCACACATCCTAGGTTTCATTAGCTAACAAGCCATCCAGTTCCTTAGTCATAGCCTCATGCCAACCAGGATGACTAGCAACCTTAGAAAATGGATTAGGTTCTTGAATTTGAGAAATAAAATGAAGTAGGGTCTGATTAGGAGTAGAGAGATCAGAAAAGAAAAATTGACTAAGGGGAAAGGAAACAAGCAGTCAAAACATAAGCAAGATATACAGCCCCAACAGTAAAATCTGAGAGATGAGGAGGAGTTCTGTGAGTTCTTAAAGACCTGCGTAGAAGATTCTCAAGTATAGGTGATATAGGAGAGAAAGAAGGAGTAGAACTGGAGAAGTAAGAGGAACAGGAAGTGAGTAATAGGAGATTGATCAGGATAAAGTGTAGCAGCCTGGGGGAAATAGGAAAGTGAGTAGGAGAAGAACTAGGACCAGGAATATGTGGAGGAACAGATATATTGGTATCATTGAAAGTAGGAGTAAATAGGGAAGGAGTAGGATAAAAAGGAACATGTGGAGTAGAAGAAAATGGAAATATAGATTTATGGAATATAGCATTCCTAGAGATAAAGATTTGTTTAGAATTCAGATTCAGGAGTTTGTAACCTTTCTTCCCAAAAGGGTACCCCAGGAATACACAAGCATTGGCCCTGGGATCAAGTTTTCCCCTATGTTAAGGAAGAGTAGAGGCAAAACATAAACAACCAAAGCATCTGAGTTTGATAATCAGGAGTTTTTCCAAAAAAGATCTCATAAGGAATCTTATAGTGCAGAAGTTTAGTAGGAAATCTGTTAATAAGGTATGTGGAAATCAATATGTAGTCACCCGAATAAATGATTGTAACCTTAGAGTAAAAGAGAAGAGCTCTACAAGTTTCAAGTAGATTCTTGTGTTTCCTCTCCACAATTCCATTCTGCTATGGAGTACCAACACAAGAGGTTTGGTGAAGGATACCATTTTCAGAAAAGAAAATAGCAGAATCAATATTGCCTCCTAATTCTAGAGCATTATCTGATCTTATTAATCTAACCTTCAAAGAAAATCGTCTTTCAACCATAGCAATCAAAGATTTAAGGACAGTAAAAGTATTCACTTTATTGCTCAAAATATACGTCCAAGTACTCATGCTAAAGTTATCAACTATAGTTAAGAAGTACTTATAACCATCATGAGTGGCGGTTTTATATGGTCCCCAAGTATGTATATGAATGCGGTCAAAAGGATTAGAAGTAGACGTGGTACTGGTAGGAAATGACAATTTATGTTGTTTGGCCATATGACATATAGTGCAAGGTATGTTATCTGAAATCAATGCATATTTAGGTAAAGAAGCAATATTTTCATACTGGAATTAGGCATATGCCCTAGTCTTACATGCCACAGATTATTGCAAGAATGAGAAGAATTAGCTAAAGGAAGCATACTAGAGTGTGAACTATCATCTGTAACAGATGATGTCAGATAACTAGTAGAATCAAAACAATTAGATGTAGAATTGGAAGTAGACTGAATACAAGAAACAACACTAGCTGATAATAATCTATGTGTTTGCAGATGATCAGTGAAGGAATGGAAAGGCTGAAGTAGATAAAGACCATCCTTCACTCTACCAGGATGATGAGGCATCCTCAAGGAAGGGCCTTGTAAGAAACAGGAAGTAGAACTGAAGATAAGCAGGCTATTGAACTATAAGCATAATTTTTGCACCTATAGAAGGTTGAATTTAAAACTAGGTACAAGTAGAACTTTGTTTAGAATCAGTTTAGGATGTATGCATACAATCCCTGCATGTGTGACTTTAATTCTATAGGAGTTTGGTATGTTAACATAGACAGGTTGTGCCAGGGGTTTAATATTGAACATGATGGTTTTATCAAAAGTCATATGCTCTGAAGCACTAGAGTCAAGAATCTAAAAATCACTCTTTAAGACTGTAGAGGTAGGAATAGAGATAGTAGAGTGTATACCAGCACAGGTAGCTGTAATATTGACATCAGAACTAGATGAACCCTGTTGCCAAGTTTGACCTGTTGCAGTAACTCCATCAATTGGTTAAGTTGCTCTTGCTTAATACCAAGTGTCACATCAGTATTCTGACGTTGCCCAGTGTCTTCCCGAATCCCTGTTGCATTACTGTGAACAGGATTATATAAAGTTTTTGATTTTCCATTATCCCCTTTGAAATTTGAAAGATAACTATGTAGTTTGAAGCGTTTCTCTATAAAGTGACCTGGTTTCTTGCAGTATCTATAGCTTAATGTTTGATAAGCTGAGTTTCTTCTGTAGTTCTGATTCTGGTTGAAATTCCGTTGGATGTATTATAGAAATTCCCTTGAGTAGGGTTGAATTTGTGCTGTCTTTAAGATTATACATTAAAAGAGTTTGAATCAGTAGGATACTTTCCCATAGGATGTATTCCCCTTTACCTTTCCTTTTGTAGCAACAAAAAATATACTCTATCAATGTCTGTAGGTGGATTCGTCATCATTATATTTCCCCTACATGCGGTGTGTGTTTCACTTAAACCCACAAAAAACTGTACTAATTTCTTTCTTTCATCAAATCCTCTGTTCTTCTCTTCTGCCCCACACTCACAATCTACATAAATACAAATAGACCTATCATCAAGCAGTTCTATCTCATCCCATACAACCTTGATATAGTTGAAGTAAGTCGCAATATTATAGGATCCTTGCACAATTTTCAGTAGCTATTTTTGTAACTAAAATAACTGTGCTAAATTTGATTGACCATACATTTTCTCAAGCAGATTCCACAACTCATGTGCAGATTATTAATGTATAACATTAGATCTGATTTGAGTCGTACGAGAATTTAATAACCACGCAAACACCATATCATTACATCGAACCCACAAATTGTAATGATCAGCCTTTTGAGCTGGTTTTTCTAGAACATCCATAAAACCTAGTTTATTTTTTGTAGATAATGATAGTAACACTGATTTCTTCCAGAAACAATATCCAGTCCCATCAAATGCACTGAAAACAGGTGTCATACCTTGTGAATCAGAAGGATGCAAGTAATATGAATGAAGATGATCAATTTCGTCTGCCATTGTAGAAAAAATCAACAACTTCTACCATTTTTTAGATCGAAATCAAATTCAGAAATAGAATCGAAAAGAATCAACAGAAAAAAACGAACCTAAGATCGAGATCTGGAAGTTTCTAGAGTGTGTGCTTTGATACATGTAAAAGTCTAGAGAGAGAATATTTGATACAAAGGAAAATTCTGTTACTATTCTGTTGTGGAACACTGTACAATATTGTGTATTTATACAAAAAATTCCTAGCTGACTAAATGTGACAGCTAAGCAAAATAAGCATAAATAACAGGAAGCTTCTAGGCACAAAATGGACAGCTGTGATTAAAACGTGGAGCTGCCTTGATCAAAGCACGTGGCTTGTCCACTAATCTCCCTTACTATAGCCTAAAATCCTCTCGTGTGTATCGAACAATAACCCTAGCCACCAGACTCCTCTTGTAAACGGTTGCCACTGTCATTCATAGGTTTGTACAAAATTAACATTGCGAACTCTAATTTGGAGAACTCACGGAGGATAATCATATTAATATATTTAATTTTTATTAATGATCTTAAAGCTAATTTGTTCACTTCTTTAAACATCGATAAGTATTGTGAATTCTTTTTTGCATTTGTGTTTGGATGAATTTACCATACTCCCAACTTCTAAATTGACAAGGGGTGAAAATCATGGAATGGTGGCGTATGCTCAATGTCAAGAATTTGAATAGCTGTGCAATCAAGAAACAACAAAATTTATTTCAAGTGATTTCTACAACAAGTGAATCTATCACACAACCATCTCATTGGAAGAATTCCAAAAAGTCTCTCATACTTACATGAAGTTGAGAGTTTAGATCTTTCCTACAACAGCTTGAATGGGAGTATTCCTGTTGGTCTACTTGAGCTACATCCTTTGGAGGTATTCAGTGTGGCTTACAATAACTTATTTGGCAGAGTACCAGACTTTAAAGGTCAATTCGACACTTTCGACAAAAGCAGCTATGAAGGGAATCCATTTCTTTGTGGTTATCCATTGGATAACGAATGTAGTAAATTGTCAAATACCTCCAAGAATGGAAGTGATGAATCTGACTTGGATTATATGGAAAGTTTCTACATCGGCTTTGGCGTGTCTTATGGAGCAATATTGCTGGGATTAGCTGCAACACTCAGCTTCAATCCTTATTGGAGAAGAACATGAATGTATTTCCCTTTATCTTTCCTTTTGTAGCAACAAAAAATATGCTCTATGAATGTCTGTAGGTGGATTCGTCATCATTATATTTCTCCTACATGCAGTGTGTGTTTCATTTAAACCCACAAGAAACTGTACTAATTTCTTTCTTTTCATCAAGTCCTCTGTTCTGCTCTTCTGCCCCACACTCACAATCTACACAAATACAAATAGACATAGCATCAAGCAGTTCTATCTCATCCCATACAACCTTGATATAGTTGAAGTAAGTCGTAATATTATAGGATCCTTGCACAGTTTTCAGTAGCTATTTTGTAACTAAAATAACTGTGCTAAATTTGATTGACAACACATATTCTCAAGCTAATTCCACAACTCATGTGCAGATTTTGAATGTATAACATTAGATCTGATTTGAGTCGTACGAGAATTTAACAACCACGCAAACACCATGTCATTACATCGAACCCACAAATTGTAATGATCAGCCTTTTGAGCTGGTTTTTCTAGAACATCCATAAAACCTAGTTTATTTTTCGTAGAAAATGATAATAACACTGATTTCTTCCAGAAACAATATCCAGTCCCATCAAATGCACTGAAAACAGGTGTCATACCTTGTGAATCAGAAGGATGCAAGAAATATGAATGAAGATGATCAATTTTGTCTGCCATTGCAGCAGAAAATCAACAGCTTCTACCATTTTTGAGATCGGAATCAAATTCAGAAACAGAATCGAAAAGAATCAACGGAATAAAAAAACGAACCTAAGATCGAGATCTATAAGTTTCTAGAGCGTGTGCTATGATACCATGTAAAAGTCTAGAGAGAGAATATTTGATATAAAGGAAAATTCTGTTATTATTTTGCTTTGGAACACTGTACAATATCGTGTATTTATACAAAACAATTCCTAGCTGACTAAATGTGACAGCTAAGCAAAATAAGCATAAATAACATGAAGCTTCTAGGCACAGAATGGACAGTTGTGATTAAAACGTGGAGCTGCCTTGATCAAAGCACGTGGCTTGTCCACTAATCTCCCTTACTATAGTCTAAAATCCTCTCGTGTGTATCAAACAATAACCTTAGCCACCAGACTCCTCTTGTAAACGGTTACCACTTTCAACATCTCTTCGCAACATAACTCACATGATCAAAACTTTTGTGTACATTCATAGGTTTGTACAAAATTAACATTGAGAACTCTAATTTGGAGAACTCACGGGGTATAATTATATTAATAGATTTAATTTGCCTTTTAGTAATGATCTTAAAGCTAATTTGTTCATTTCTTTAAATATCGATAAGTATTGTGAATTCTTTTTGCATTTGTGTTTGGATGAATTTGCTATACTCCCAGCTTCTAAATTGACAAGGGGTGAAAATTATGGAATGGTGGGCGTATGTTTAATGTCAAGAATTTGAATAGTTGTGCAATCGAAGAAACAACAAAAGTTATTTCTAAGTGATTTCTACAACAACAAATCAATTTCAAGTAATTGCAACACACATTGGTCTATTGTTTAGAGATGGTCGTATTTCCAACCGAATTCCAGCTAAAATCATTTAGTAGAACATTGGTAAAAGGTAAAGACTGATTTTTTTTTTCATCACTAAAATCCATGCTTATTACACCGTGGACATAACAGTACACATAAAGCCAAACAAAAGGAAAAACACTAGTTAGTTAAATCCCAAAAAGATGGAGCCAGTCTCTCCAATTGTAGCACGTGTGAAAATTGCAAACGGGGTCCCAGCTTGTAACCCGCAAAAAAGCCAAAGCACCTCACTAATCCACAATTATGAAAACCATTTACACTAAACCAAGTCATTAGTACCCCATTTCCAGGCAGGTAATCTTGATCCGCAAAAAGAGATCTGCTGCAAACATTATCACTTAATAGGATATTGACAATGGAACATATTCAATGACCTTAAATTAACTTCTAAAAATCTTGAAAATTCTTCTCTATGCTGTAAGAGTGGTGTCTTCTTCTTTCATCATAACCGCACGGATTCTATTCGCAACATGATTTGGTGTCATACTCAATTTATAATCCATCTGTCAAATCAGACGCCCATAATATTAGAATTAACATAAAGCAATTAGAGTAATTGATGATAGTTTGAACTTTGAATACGTAAATTTTAAAGGAATATTAAGTTAGTACCTGAGCAATAATGGTCATGTGTGTGGTGTTGTAGCCAAAAGGCATAACGCTGGAGCTAATGATAGAAAGATGAAGCTTTTCTACTTCGTTGAATATTTCCTTTATTATCCCGTTTTGCTTTTTGCAATATATACTAATCATGAAATTCCCATCTGAAACTCTAACTTCAATATCAGGAAATGATCGGTCTGTGCTAATGCTGGTTTTTTCATCAGAAGACGAGGAGTACTCCTCATGACTGGAGAGAACACGAGCTCTCTTCACTGCAACCACCGATTCCTCGCTACAAATATTCTTGGCTTTTTCCTCGAGAGTTTTTACTTGTTCTTCAAGTTGTTTTATATATTTGATCGCATCTCCCAGTACTGATGCTTTGTCCAACTGTTAAAAGAGTTAATTAGAAATTAAACATCTATATATTTGTAGTGCTATGAAATTCTCTTAATTAATAACTGGAGATAATTAAAATATGAAGAAACACTAGCACTACATCGAATGTTCATTTGTTATATTTTTCAGCACATATAAACTGAGATTCGATTAATTTAAGTAGCGAGCGATCGATCGATCGATAAAAAGCTAAAAGAGGAAATAAAAGGATTTACCTTCTTGAGGTTAGGGACAAGGGCAGATAAAGCTATGAAGCGTTGAGTGAGGCGTTCTCTTCGCTTTCTTTCAGCTACAACGTGGTCTTGTGCCTGCAAACTAGTCCTATTGTAACTCTTTTTCTGAGTGAGGATTAGATTTTGGCTATCACCAAAATTATCAGAATCCGTCGAAACTGAAGACGAGAAGTTTAGAGTAGTTCCAGATGTCAACTCAGTCTTGACTGAGGTGTAGTTCAAATTTTCAAAGTGGTTTTTGGCAACAGTAGCAGTATTGGCTGATGGCGAATTGGAGTAGCCATAGTTGCAAGAGGAGAAGGGTTCAATAAATGGAGTCACCATCTGGAAGTTATTGTTGTTGATAAAGGAATGATCATTCATATTAGTCCTCTCCTGTATTGGTTAATTTCGAAATAAAATGTTACCATAGGGTACATAAAATCAAATAACAGAATTCTTTAAAGCAAGAGGAAGTAGTTTTAATTTTATTGTCATACCATTTCAGACCACCATGTAGCCGATGACATATCCATTGTTGGCAATTGTTGGGCTCGTTAATGATCAATTCTCTCCTAGGGTTAGATCCTGTTTCTGTATTCCAATCACAATCAGTATCTGACATAAATCTTAGGGGAAGAAAAAGAGAACTTACAAGGTCTAATCAAAAGAGGGATAAGCTTACCTTAGAGCCAAATTAAAGGGCTTTCGATTTCAGCTGGTGTACGTGTTCTGATGGTCAAGTGTAGGAATTCTTGTGTCTTTATAGTAGCTTGAATGTTTGCGTTGACTGGAAAAATATACGAAGAAATCAAATAAAACAGAAAACAGGTGGAAATTTTCCTCAATTATTGTGTTCTCACTCTCTATAGTGTATAATTAATTACACCTCTAAGGAAACTTCTATCACTACTTAAAATAATGAACAGGCACGTGTTAAAAGTTTCGACTTTCGAGTTATTTCTTTGTTGCCGAGTACGTATTACCTTTTTGACCAACTCCCTCTTCCCGTCCGACTTTACTCACCAGTCACCAGTTATGTTAGAGCAGTTAGTATTTTGCATGTAGCGCTTTGAATAACTTTTGTATTATGTTTGGGATTGTCTTATAAAAGAGAATTCGCCTTTTTTGCATCCCAATTTGCGACTATGCAACTTCATTCACCTAGTTTGTTCTAATTCCAATTAGGGTTGTGCACCGATCGGTTCGGTTCGGTTGTGAATGGTATCGGTTCGGCATATCGGTTGTCGATTTATAAATATGTTAAACCGATAGATTGATAAGATATCGATTATCAGGTATCGGTTAGTCGGTTATCGATCCTTATCGGTTCGATTATCGGTTTATCCGATAAGAATAAAAAATCCAAGAATTTCACGTTTTTATTATATAAATCGTGATCATATTGTTAAGAGAAAGGAACTGAATTTTTGTTCTTAAGAAAAGAGGGATTAAATTTCAACTTTAGAAAAGAAAACTTTCTTTGCATTTGAAAATCCCAGTGAATGATCTTAATTTTAAAAGTTATAAGTTAGTAGGAGTAAGGAATAAGACATTCAACAATCTAATCTTACCAACTATCTCACTGCGGGCGGGCATAATTCACAGAAAAATAGTAAAAACTAATTTTGAAAATACTAAAGAATTAGTGCAACAAAAAAAAACTGAAAATCTGAACAATTAATTCTTCAAAGTTTAAAACTAAAATCTTAACTGAAGAATTAAGATGAGTAATTCAGAAAAGTTTAAAATTTACTCTAAGGATTAAGGTCTGAAGATGAAAAGTAACTGCCGAGAGAATGTGGTTCCTCAAGGTGCGGGATTGCGTCGTTCTCTTCTAAAGGAGACGCATGATACTCATTATGCTGGTCATCTGGGTGTTGAAAAGATGTTGGTGTTGCTGTCTCGGAATTACTTTTGGCCGAAAATGGAAGATGACGTTGAGGCCATGTAAAAACTTGTCTGGTATGCCAATTTGACAAGACCGAACGGAAGAAAGAAGCTGGGATGCTACAACCTCTTAAGGGTGCGTGTAGGGGATTGTTGGGTTTTCTGTATTCAAAATCAGGAAAATCAGAAAACTTTAGTTTAAAGAAAAGTAAAACAGAAACCCACAAGTTTCTTGTGTGTCCTTAAGGAATTTAATCCCCTCACAGTTGACCAAGGTTTCGGATTAATTCCTCCCAGGATAGAACGGAATAACTATTCTATGATAGCGGCACTTCAAATCACAGAACTTCAGCGAACTCAAATGGCAGAGCAAATCACACAAAATGCTTACATTTTGCTTTGAAAATCAATGTAGAATGCAAAAGAGAGGGGAGAGTTTTTCAGATTCGGTGGTGGAAAATAAGGCTTTATAGCCAATGAAGTTGAGTCCCTACAGGTGCAACGGTACCTGTTCGTTTGATAAGGTGTCTATTCCGAAGAAATTATTTATTTGGTCACGAATTTGACCGTTGGAAAATAATTCTTTGAATTTCCAAATTCATATTTTCTGCGCAAAAATATTAGAAAGAAAATATTAAAAAATAGAAAAGAAAAATAAATTTTGTCAAAAAATTATCAATCAGTCATATCAATTGACCAAATCCGAATCCGAAGCCGAGCCGAGCCGAGCGAGCAACGACGGCGATGGCGACGGCGCGAGGCTTGCTCTCTTCTCAACTCTTTAAAAGCTAGAAGAAGTGCTTGCATATATAATCACGAGAATTTTCCTCTTCCTATCCAATGGGGGACAAAGTTCCTTTGTAAATTGAACTAATTCAAAATTTCATTTCCATCCATTTCTTTTCCCATCATTTTCCATTCACACCTCTTTTGTTTCTAGTTAACAAAACCCAACATTAATCCCCTACATGAATGGGGAATGGCTATCCGACAAAATATGCATAAAAAAAACTGTGTGATTCGCAAGTATGGATTAATCGCATCTGGATAAGTAGCTTTCCCTTTGAACATTCCGTAGTGAACATATGTCAGATATACTCGGTCAATTGGTAGATCCGATATCTTTGAATCGTCGAACTTTGGTGTATACCAAGACTGCCATACGTCACACAATCAACCCTTAACCGTCTTTGGTTCTCATTGTTGTGTTTGTTTCAGCCGTGAACACCGCCTGGTTTCATAAGTGCGTAAAGAACTGGCCTTACAAAATTCTCCTTGAAGCGGCTTACACTTCACACTTACATAGGTGATTCCTAAACATGTTATCCCATAGATAAACTATTCAATATACCCCGTATCAAACTTAGAAACCATTTAAAAGCTTTAACTTTTTATCCTTGTTACTAAACATTGTCTTCATCATGAGAATGGACCAAAATTTTATTTGACAATGTTGAACCGTCACTAATGACTTTGTTTGATCTCCTTGAACCTATATCTTGGGATCTCCAGACTTCTAGGTAGAGTTACCGCCATAATGACTTGTCATCGGCCGTAATCCCATTCCCTTTGATGACTTCTCAATCGCCTCTCTAGTTAGGCCTTTTGTAAGCAGATCCGATACATTATCTTTTGACTTTACATAGTCAATTATGATAATTCCACTAGAGAGTAGTTATCTAATTGTATTATGTCTTTGTCGTATGTGACTATGTGACGAGATTTTCCGTTATACATAAAGTTTCAAACCCTTTCTATTGCCGCTTGACTGTCGCAATATATGCATATAGGTACCAAAGGTTTAGGCCAAATAGAATATTTTCCAAGAAATTCTGGAGCCATTTAGCTTCTTCACCGGCCTTGTCTAAAGCGATAAATTCAGACTCCACTGTAGAGCGGACGATGCATGTCTGTTTGGACGACTTCCAAGACACTACTCCTCCATCAATGCTAAAAACTTATCCACTTTTGAATTTTGATTCTCTTGATCCGATGATTCAATTTGCATCACTATATCCCTCAATAATTGCGGGATAATTATTGTAATGCAATGCATAGTCTTGGGTATATTTCAAATACCTTAAAACTCGTTTCATTTCTATGCAATGAGCTTGATTGGGATTACTTACATATCGACTAAGCTTACTTATCGCACAAGCTATATCAGTTCATGTACAATTCATAGTGTACATCAAACTTCCCAACACTCGAGCATATTCTAATTGAGACTTTCTTTGACCTTTATTCTTTACAAGAGTATGGTTTAAATCATTGGCGTTCTTACAACTTTAAAGTCCAAAGATTTGAACTTTTCAAGTACCATTTTAATATAATGAGATTGTGACAAGGCTAGACCTTGAGGAGTCTTAGGGATCTTAATTCGCAAAATTAAATCGGCAACTCCTAAGTCTTTCATATCAGACTTACTAGTAAGCATGTGCTTAGTAGCATTTATGTTAGCAATGTCGTTACTCATTATCAACATATCATCCACATATAAATAAACAACTACTATTTGACTTGGAGTATTCTTAATGTAAACATATTTGTCACACTCATTGATCTTGAAACAATTTGACAACATTGTTTGGTCAAATTTTGCATGCCATTATTTCGGTGCTTGTTTTAGTCCGTAAATCGACTTAACAAGTTGACACGTCTTCTTTTCTTTTCCAGGAACTACGAACCCTTCAGGTTGTTGCATATAAATTTCTTCCTCCAAATCTATTTTTAAGAAGTTTGTCTTCACATTCATTAATACTCGGACAGATGTAATCCTCGTTACCGGCGAGTATATGTCAAAGTAGCCAAGACCTTCTCATTGTCTAAACCCTTTAACAACTAATCTTGTCTTATATTTGTCAATAGTACCATCACCTTTCATTTTCCTTTTAAAAATCCACTTAGAACCTAAAGGTTTATTTCTTGGAGGAAGATCAACCAATTCCCAAGTATGATTACTTAATACAGATTCTATCTCACTATTGACTTCCTCTTTCCAATATTGCGCTTCCGAGAAAGACATCGCTTCTTTGAACGTTTGAGACTCATTTTTTAACAAGAATGTCAAAAAATCCGGTCCAAAGGAAGTAGTTGACCTTTGATGTTTACTACATCTTGGATTTTCTTCACTAAAGGTACTTTTCTTTGCTTCTTCTCGAGGTCGCTTAAATTTTTTACTAGACGACTCACATTCCTTTTTATACGGATAAATATTCTCAAAGAATTCAACATTATCTGATTCGATTACCGTATAAATATGAATGTCGGTATTTTATGATTTATGAACGAGAAAGTGATATGCCTTACTATTTGTTGCATATCCTATGAAAACGCAATCAATGGTTTTTGGTCTAATCTTTACCCTTTTGGGTTTAAGGGCTTGCAATTTAGCCAAACACCCTACACTTTAAAATAGTTTAAGTTGGGTTTTATTCCTTTCTATTTTTCGTATGGAATGGATTGCGTTTTACTATGGGGAACTAGATTGAGTATTTGGTTAGCTATAAGAATAGCTTCCCCCCGCAAGTTCTGATAAGGGGCAAAGGTGCCTGTAAGAATCTGAATCTGGAGCCGAAGCCGAGCCGAGCCAAGCTGAGTGAGCGAGCGACAACGGCGCGAGGCTTGCTCTCTTTTCAACTCTTGAAGATCTAGAAGAAGTATTTCCATATATAAGCACATAAATTTTTCTCTACCTATTCTTTTTTTTAGAACAGGTATCTTATTTTATATATCACATAATACTAGAATCAACAACATTAAGAGTACCCGATAGGGCATTACCTACTTGGCTATTACAGCAAAACAACATGTCTCGAAGGACATCTTTGTTTCCAAAAGATGCTAGCCTAGAGCAAACATCTTTACTAACATTCTTAACTAAATAAGTAGAACCTTGATAGTCTGAAGTTA